AATACAGGTATTGATTCCAAGGTATTTGATTGCTGATTTCATGGCCAGGAAATGCATTTTTCCAAGGACTGGGAATGTTGCATTGGCACATAGTATTGCTAGGTGCCTGGTGCAGACTTGTTGAATGAAGATATGGACACAAAAATGAAAGTAGGAAGAAATAATTATGAGTCTCAATATTGCTTTCAGTGTGAAGAAAATACTCTTGGCTGTGACACGGGGCAGGGCACATCACCTTTCTAGGCCTTCGCTGAAGTGTGAACTAGATTCTGTAACTACCACTTTGTATTTCTTAATCTCTTCATTTTCACCCAGCCCTCCCAATCCTTTTCCGCGTCTAGCGGCTAGGATTTGACATGTGGGTATTTTGTTAGCCCTCAAGTCTCTGCCCCAAGAGGGCAGGGTTTTCTCATTTAATTATTTCATGCCTCTACATGTAAGTTGAATATACACAGGTTGAATATACACTAACACATCATATATTTTAACATTGTATTAATCTTATGAAATATATATACACGCACACATTTAAAACTTTGTATATCTTTTTCCATCATTATCATCATCTGTAGAAGTATCAGTATCAGCAACATCAACATCATCATAGTGATGATTTATTCCATTCTTTAGTGTAGACCAGTCTTTAGACTTTAGCAATTTAGATGTATTTGTTTCTTTAATTGTCAAATGCTGTGGGGTAGATACTACTATTATCTTTATGACACAGGTTGAAACATTGAGGTTCAAACAAATTGAGCAACTTATGTCTTACTCTAGAGCTACAGTCATAGCCACTAAAACATATGACCTCTGCATTAATTTCTTAGGGCTGCCAAAACAAATTACTATAGACTGGCAGGCTCAAAGCAACAAAATTAATACTCTCACAGGTCGAGTTCAGAATTTCAGAATTCATATGTTGGCAGGGTTGGTTAGTCTGGATACTCTGAGGGAAATCCTGTTGCATGTCTTTCTGGCAGTTTCTAGCAATTTTTGGCTTGTAGACATATAACTCCATCTTCACATGAGCTAATTCTTCAAGTCTCTCCATGTGTCTCTGTTCCTTTTCTGTTATTATTAGGTAACCAGACATTGGATTTAGGGCCCAACCTAAGCCAGTGTGATCTTACTTGCTCTTTACCTTAATTACATTTGTAAAAACTCTATTTCCAAATAAGGTCACATTTTGAGGTTCCAGTAGACATATGTTTATCCAAAGAGCTCCCATGTTATAACACATCTTGATAAACACTACCTTTGACTAGACATACACTATCCTCTTTCCCTTTTGGTGGACATTTAGGTTGGAGATGGTGACAACTAGCACATAAGACCTTGGTGTAAATCACACATAGGCCCTCCCTTCCCCAGGATGACTGAGGTGTGTAGGTCAGTCAGCTGAGCCAGGGCTGGATTTCAGCTTCCACTTACCTTCTCTGTAAGTCACCTTTCTGCATGAAGGATATGGTGGCTCAGGTCTGAGAGAAGGGAACCTAGGGTGGGTTTGTTACTATTTTAGAATATTTAAGAAGCTTGATTTTTGCATTTGACTTTTTTAATGTTTCAGAGTAGGAAGCACACAGTGTCTGAATTAAAAGAGGCCCTAGAAATTTTTTCTTCCAAATGCCTCAATTACATAGGAGGAGAAAAGAATTATGATATTCTATATTAACTTGCTGCCTATTGTTTCACAAAGCAGAGTTGAAAGGTATTGTTTTTCAGTTTCAGGAAACAGAGATCCAGAAATTTTAACTAACTTTGCTACAAACTAGGATAAAAGTCTCAACTCTCTTGTGTTTCCTCAGTACCTTGATTGTATCATGCTGATTCATGTCGAGCCCTGCTTCCTCTTGTAAATGCCAGCTGTGACATAATCATTATTTTAAAATGTTTATTAACAGGGACATATTCATTCTTTTATGCCTGCATTCTAATTTCTTTTGAAACTACCTAAAACTTTCTTCCTCTCTTTTGAACTTGGCTTTGATGAATACATTTTTGACCAGATAAAACATGTGAGTACAGCCTTCTTAAATTAAAATGACCACCTTTCTTTATATCTTTATACATATTCATCTATTACCTTAGTACTTTTGTTGCTGTGACAAGCCTGATATTTTAACAGCATATATTTCAAAGGGCGGAGGAGGAAAAATACAGCATCTTCTTATTCTGAAATTTAAATAACTTTAATACTTACTTTTTTATTTTTTTGTACAAAAAAGTTTAATTTTTAAGGCCTAAAATAAATGAAAATAACTCAATGAAATAAATAAGAATTCAAGTTTGTAGTCTAATTAGTAGACCAATATTCTTAGCATTTGCTTTCTCCACAGATAATCATTGTGGTTTCTTGATGGTATAGGATACAGCTGACTCCTCTCCATGTTCCTTGGGGTTTAACAGAGTGCCAGCCACACACTTGGTTAATAAGATCATGTTGACTGAGTCACACAAGCCCCATCTCTTTGTCCTTATGCATTCTGCTCTGGCCACAGTGACTATCCATTATCTGGACACATTGCACCTTGTCCCACCTGCATGCCTTTGTAATGAATGACTTTTCCCCAATGATCCCTTTGCTAGGTTCCTATGCATCTTTTAAGATCCAGCTCAAATGTTGAAATCCTCTGTGAAACATTTCTTAAGGGCAAGATGATGCCTCATTCATCTCCATGTCCCCAGCCTCTGGCACAGAGTCAAAGTTAACAAAATGTGTATTGAATAAGAAAGTGAATGAACAGAGGGACAGAGCCAGTGTCCTATACCAGAGAAGAACATGGGCTTTACAGCCTGGCAAACCTGGGTTCATAGTCCTGCTTCTTGGCTCACACCTGTGTGACCTTGGTCAGGTCACATCATCACCCTGAGACTTCTTTTCCTTAATTGTCAAATGAGGACGATGGTAGCATCTGATACAATGAGTTCTTGTGAGAATAAAACAACATCCTGTTTGGAAAACCCTTTACCTCATGAGTGCTAAATGATAGTCAACATTGATAATACTGCTCCACAGTTTTACTTTGATTGCACTGGGGAGGCTGCAGTCTGGCTCAGTCTGGCCAGCCTCACTACAAGCGTATTAGATGGAAGTATTTTGGCTGGGGAGCCATGGAATTGTCATGGCCACCATCCCATTTTTAAAGAGGTTAAAACTACAAACAAGCAGACTCCAACTAACTGGAAAACACTTCTTGAGTAGAACTTCCCCTGGAACTTAAGTTTTAGGGGAAAGAGACAAACCACAAAACATAAACTAATATAAGCCTTTTTAAAAATATAGAAACCTTGCAAGTAAGTTCTCGGGGATGACCTTGGACCTACTTTCAACCTACACTTCCATACCTTTGCACAGTGGCAAATATATACCTTGGGGACTGAATTCAGCCTACAGGCTGGTGATTTGGCCTTACACTGTTTAAAAAAAACCCCTGAAATGGGTATCAAGATGAAATTAAAACCGTAATGAAAGTATTCAAATCTATACCAATTTAGAGTGATGAGTCTAGTAATTTTCCATATAGCTATTATTAAGCTTCAGTAATTAGCAATATTCTGACATTCTGTTCCATTTTGTTTTGCTAGATTATTTAAAAGCAAATGTCAGATATCATATCATTTCACTCATAAATAAAAAAATAACTGCAATCCATTATTACAACTAACAGACTCAAAAATTAATTTCTTAATAAGATCTAAAACCCAGACTGTGTTGTTTTCCCAGAATGCATCAATAAAGTCTCTTACAGTTACTTTGTTTGAATCAGAATCCAAGCACAGTTCAGAAACTACATTTGTTGGCTCCATGTCCTAAGTCTTTTAATTTGAGCAGTTCCCCTCCTTTGTTTGCATGCCATTTATTTCTGTAAGAATTTTTAAATAGATAAGTATTTCTCAAACACATGGGTTTGTAGTTTCTCCTGAAAAGATGGGAAGGTCCGGCAGCCCTGGCTTACACTCGCATAAGGCAGTGTGGGGCTGCAGCACCGTGTAGACGGCAGCCTTGAGCCCGCGCAAGCGTCTCCAGACGACCCGAGCCTTCTCCAGTCCCTGCTGCGTGAACCAGTTTACGGCATTTGTGTTGCCTACGCAGCCCCCGTGGGCGGTGTGCTGGCCACCTCTGACCTACATATTCTTCTGTTGGGCAATGAGAACTGAGTCCATACCTTTTTCCACCTGGTGGAGGTTTGATCCTACAAAGGTCACTGGACAGGGTGTTAGAAGACCCAGCCTTGGGTCTTGGTCCTCTATGACAATTGGGCCACCATTTCACTTCTCTGAGACAACTTGCAGAGTGGTGTTACCAGCCATCTCTCAGGGTTGTTTTGAAGTCGAAATAAAGTAACAGATGTGACATTGTATAGAGCTCTACACGTAAGTGATTAGTATGCATTAGGCTACATTGAATTATGCATAGCATCCTCCTTCACACCTCCATGCGGGCGGGCGGCGACTCTGCTGTTCTCTCTCCCTGGAATGCCCTTAAGAATTAATTGCTAGTCATCTGCGGCCCTCAAACATTTTGTATAACCTTTGTCACACTGTATTAAAGCCATTCATTTACATCTTTGTCTCTTTAAGATTCTGAAAGTAAACTTCAGTTTATTCAGTGTTTAGCACACAGCAGACTCTCAGTAAATGTCTATTGAGATAGATTGTACTGATTTGAATAATTATTTTATGTGTCCCTGTCTTGGAGGACAGTCAATGTCTATACAATTCTTTAGTTATATCTGACAGATGACAAGTCTTGGCTCTTGCTAAAAGCTGCTGCTGATGAAATATTTACACAAATAGTTTCATATCTTTAAGTAAATGATCCAAATTCTTGAGTATACTCTAAGTAATTTGAGCTCATTAAGCATGAAAGAACCTAAATGTGGAATGCTTATCATTAAATATTTTTTTTCTTCCGGGGAAGACTTAAGCTCCCAGTCATCATTTTTGGCGCCAGTTATCTTACTCTCTTCATTAACTTAGGGTTTCTTGCTCTGTCACAGCTGGTTTGCCATCCACCCAGTCAGCATGAACAACAGCAACCACCTTGTAAATAGCGACAATATGGGCTATGCAGCTTACCTTTTTGAGCAAGATAAGAACAAAGGATATCTACCTGGACAGGTGAGAATTTATGTTTTTGAAAGTTTAATCTTCATTCATTCAATCTCATTCATGCAATATTCAGAATAGCTCATTCAAAATTTCAGAGTAAAGTGTCATATGGACACTATCTACTGATATACTTGAATAAAAAGAATTTTCCAACTTCCCTAGTAGGGAAAGAATGTTCAAAATGACCAAAAATTTTGTGTCAGAAGCCACTTAAATTGATGGCTTCATAAAGTTACAATTAGTTGGATAATGGAGGGCAAGTTCCAGATTTTTGCAATATATTGTAGTTTTTTATCAAACTTGGAAATGTGATAAACTGTTGATGTTTACTTTTGTTTTCAGAGTTACAAAAGTATTAAGCATCTTTTTAATGGTGTTAAGAACCTGAGTGAGGGCAGGTGATACAGCCTTTTCAGCGGTCCAGACTTTCCTCTGAATGGTAAATTTCTTTCAAGGACTGTGTTCTACTTTCCTGTAATAAGGCCTAAATCAGAGACAACCCTCATTCATCAGACTTGTTTGTAACTTTGAAACACATTGAGTGACAGGATCAGATATAGGGGCCAGGAACCCAGCCCTGTTCACCAGGAAGCTATTCAGATCTCTATAATTAAAGAGACCACAGAGAGATAAATGAGAAGAGGGACCCTGCTATGCTTGGCACCAGTGTCTAAGCCCTGAATGCAGAAGAATATATGATGGGATGAGAGCCCCAGGCCCTTGACTAGAATAATGCTCTGTCACAAAGATATTGAGCCCGTGAACATTTGGTCTGATTTTTTAGTTCCTTTCTCAACAAAACTGTGTTTTTCATTTTAGCCTGTGTTTTAGGGGAAACAAAAGGAGGTTTTCATTTATGATCACTGGCTGGGTGCTAGGCACTTTGAAATATATTATCTTTTTAACATGACTTCTGATATTTGCTTACCTCTCTTTCTAAGAAAATTTAAGATGTTTAAGAAGGACTGGTATAAACAAACAAAATAGAAATGGACTCAAAGATACAGAGAACAGAGTGACAGCTGTCAGAGCGGGGAGAGGTTAAGGGGTGGGAGAAAAAGGTGAAGGGATTAAGCAAAAACTAAACAAAGCAAAACTCATAGACACAACATTATGATTACCGAGGGAAAGGGGGGTGGGGGCAGGTAGAAGAGGGTAACGGGGGATGAATGGTGATGGAAGGAGACGACTTTGCGTGGTACACATATAATACAAAATACAGATGATGTGTTATAGACTTGTGTGCTTGAAACCTATATAATTTTATTAACTAATGTCACCCCCCAAAATTCAATAAAATTTAAAGAAAAATAGTCATTTGGAATATTTCCACTCCCATCTCCTTGAAGAAAAACTAGAATGGTAGACCAGTGGGTTGAGGTTAATGCCTTGCACAATTCTAAAGGTTATGAGTTGTTACTTCTGGTTGAAGAGAGTGAAAAAAGATGCAGAAGCTCAAGTCTGGATGGTGGATGCTGTATATAGGTTCAGTTATGCAGCAGGAAAATCTGGATTCATTCTTCTCTTTTTAAGCCAATAGGATATTTATTTTTAAAGGGCAAATTCTCCTTGGAGCTCTAGGTACACCCGAGACAAGATTGCCCTTTCATCGTTTTGTAGTTTGTTGCTGCACCCGCGTTCATTGTCAAAATGTTTCTATCTGAGGTACAAATTTGAAACTCTCCTGCTTGATACAGCTCTATTGATGATTGGAATGTCATGACTAATTAATAATATGTACACTGACAGCAATGTGAGCCTTTTCAGGAGTAAAACATTTTCTCAGAATATTGTACGTCCTTCTTTTTATATTGTGCAATGATTTCGAATAGTTTACCAAAGTGGATTGAATGCTTGCATTTTTAATTGAAGTCATGGGAAGTAAAGAATAAAAGACAATTGGCTGTTTCCTTTGGCAGGGACCGTTTGTAGCTGCTTTCGCTTCATCAAATCTGGGGGACGTGTCCCCCAATATTCTCGGCCCACATTGTGTCAACACGGGAGAGTCCTGTGATAACGCCAACAGCACTTGTCCCATTGGTGGGGTAGGTAATTATGACAGGAAATCTTTGTTTTTGTATCTCATGTATATTTTGTGTTTAAATAGTCATCATTAATTTGCAAATATGTTTTCCTCAAGAATACTCTGGCCTACTTAATCTCTATCATCTGCTCTTCTCAAAAGCACCCAATAAATTTCAATGGGATAAAATCATAATTTATAAAATTACAAAGTGAAGCTTTTTGAATGGTGAGACAATGTAGTAAATAGTAGAGACTAAATATCCTTCCCTGAACTTGGACGGTCTGCAACAGTTTGCCTTGGCATTTCTGCAGTCACAAGTTTGTACCCAAAACTGCTTGCCTGAGCCATTTCTCACTGATTATGAAGTCTATAGATCTCTTAAAACAACATAAGATCAATTTTTTCTTTTCAAGTTACAAAATCTTGCTGTAAAAACTCAAACAACATGGAGCACAGAGTAGTAAAAAATGAAAGCCTCTATTCACCTGCCTCCCGTGCCATCTCCGTCCTTTCCAGAAGTTACCTATGTACTATCTTCCTATGTATTTGCATATGCAGCCATAAACAATATTTTATAACATTAATTTTTTTATTGAGTTTTCCACTTGATTTATCTTAAATTTTTTTTTTATGACTATATATAGGTCTGTGTGGTAAGTTTCAAAGACAAACAAGGCTGTACCATCATTTATTTAACTGCTTCCCCTCCTCCCTGAAGCTCATTTAGATTTTTCATTTAAATAAACAAATGCTCATTTCTGGATTCTTACTCTTTGTATTTAAAGAACATTTCACCTGTGATATTAGTGATTAAACACTATTTCCAGGCTATTTCTGTTCCAATCAACCTCACCCAATGAGCAACATAGTTTTAACTATTATACTTTTCTAGTATATATGACTATTTTTATATAGAAAGTGTTCCTTTATTGCCCTTTATTTGCAAAATTTTCACACACTACTCATTCAGAGTAGCTTTGATGATTATTTATTGAATCCCAAAATTCATAGGTGAAATGCTTAAAAAGTTATACTTATTTGTAATAGAATAGTATGCATCAACTAATTTAATGTCTTCTGTTGAAATACATAATTTGAGGAAAAGCTCATAACATAATGTTGAAAAAAATCAGGATTCAATATTGCATATGCATTATGATTGCAATTTTGAAAATCAATGCATCATAGTAAAAAGACAAAGTGAAACACATTGAATTGTCTACTATGGTTTTCTTTTTTTGGTATTATTATAAATAGGTTTTATTCTAGATATTTTTATTTATTATTTTTTCTATTTCTACATTTTTTTCCCTACAATGAGCATAGTTTACTTTATAATCAGGAAAAAATTATCATAAAATCATACCCCTTCCACAACAGAATTCTGTTTTTCTCTGCTCCCCCCCATACATTGAATTGGTTTCCAGCCTGTTTGCAAAATCGAAAATGTTTTCTCCTGTCTGATTGGATCAATTTATGTCACATGTCCATCCCTGGGCTAAAACAGGTGTTGGGGGAATGGTATGTGCTGACTGGCTTAGGCTGGAGCTCCTGACCGGTTTTCAGCAAGGCCCAGGGCATGGGCACAATCGCGTTATACTCATCGTGCACTAGGAATGGGAACATTGTTTGCAAGGGGTGGATTCACGTAAGAAGGAGAGAGAGGGAAATGTGGCAAAAGTTTCATGTCTTCTGCTTCATTGTGGTTTCTTTAAAAAAACTTTTTAAGTTTAGAAACTGGCTTCAATTTTTTTTTTTTTTTTTTTAGGAATTGATATATGCTTGTTAAAAATTCAAACAATTTATAAAAGTTCAGAAAATGAAACTGTAAAGGAACACCGTCTTACCCAACAATTAGCCAGTTAAAATTTTAATGGACTTCTTTCCAGACATCTTTTTGTGCATCCATCACATATATACATGTAAAATTTTACATAAGTGGATCATGTAATTTTAGTGTATAATTTGCTTCCTCATTTCCAGTAAATATACTTTAAAACATCATTTAAAATCACTCGGTAATTTTCAGTGTTAAGTACTATAGTTAACCAGTCCCTGCTGATGAGTATTTTCTTTCCCTGACTTCTTCCTCCCTTTACACTCTTTCTCCTCTCTTCCCCCTGCCCCCTTCCGACAAGCATGCTATGGTCACTCTGCTTCTCAGACATATTTTTCACAGGAGTGAGAGTGTCATCTTAGGCCAAATTCTTAAAGTGAGTTTGCTGTCAAAAAGAAAGAGCCCCGACCATAGGCTCTGCCTTGCCCAGATGCTCCCTCAATCACGTGCCCACCCATTGTGCCCAAGCGACAGTGTCCCCAGTCTCTCACCAACACCAGGATTGTCAGTCTTTCCATTTATACCAACGCACACACAGAGTTCTCTTTGCCGCTTAAACTTATATTTGATTATTTGTGTGATTGAACATATTTTTATGTGGAACATATATTTACATTTCTTTTTCATGAATTACCTTTTTCCATCTATTTCATTATGTATCCATTATGATGATTTTTTTACTTTTATGTTTTTCCAGCTTTTTTGAGATATAATTTACAAATGGCATTGTGTAATTTTAAGGTTACAATGTGATGATTTTGATATACATATGAGATTTTTTTTTACTACAAATAAGAGATAACCTAATTCAGTATAGATCAATCAAAAACTATTAATAAATATATTTTTTCTTACTGACTTTAAAGTTTCTAATATTTTAAAGTCTTAGTTTGTCACAAAGAGTGCCATCCCCTTCTCCCCCATTTACCAGTTGTCTTTCAGCCTTACTTATGTTTTGGTTTTCCATGTGAATGCTTAGAGTGTTCAAGTTGTCAGATTTATTAAGCCTATTCTATATCATTTTAGAAGAGTCTTCCATACTCTTAAGACTTTAAAGTATATTCACTCATAATTGTAATACTTTTGGTTTCATTTATAGTATTTAAATATCTGATTAACCTAATAATTTCCTGATGTAAGAAATAAGGTATGGAGTCAGATTTATTTACTGATATTTTTCCCCCAAGGGTCAACTAGTTCTTCTAGTATAATTTTAACCACATTTCATTTAAGGTGGTCATGAGCAAGAGCCACAGGCAAGAACAAGCAAGCAGAGACGTGTGCAGCTAGTGGAGACACGTGGCTTTAGGTCTTAGCTACCTGTATAGCCTTCAACAAATCCTCTAACACACCTGAGCCTCATTTTCTTTATTTTTAAAAGTAGGTGCTGGAGTAGATGATTTCTAAAGGTATTCACTACTCCAATTCAACAAATGATTTTGTTTCTCATAATATTTAAATTGACAGAGTGTCTAAAAAGGAAGTGCTAGAATGTGTCTTAAAAATATATTTACTTAGATTCACTTATAATTTTCCATTTCTTAAAATAATTGCTTTCTTCGCTGAGAACACATCATGTCTCACTTTGTTCCAGTCCACCATGTGCATGGCTGCGGGGCCCGGGCAGGACATGCTCGACAGCACTCAGATCATAGGACGGACCCTGTATCAGAAAGCAAAGGTAAGCTGGGCATCCAGCTTCTTTCGTCTTCATTTAAAAGTGTTCTTGAAAATCTGCCAACATTGCTCATGAGGAAGTTGATCATTGTAAGGAAGACAACAAGAGCTCATGCTAGACCAAGGACTCTGGAAGAGGAGATGCACTTGCATGGCAGTTAGGAAGGTTGCTTTCACAAACCGCTGCTCTGACTGCCCCATCCAACTGCTCACAGGAAGTGCAATGAAAACCAAGTCATCAGGAAGGCATTTTACTTCAGCCAGAGTGGTTGCTTCGGACAGTGAGATGATAGATAGATTGTAGGGTTTTCAATTAACGTGGTATCAGACATGACGAGACTTCCAAAACCTCGGAAATCAATCAGGGCTTTGCCTGCCAAATCACTTAGCCATTTCTTAACTTTTCCTTCAGTGAGGAGGCAAAGCTGAGCAACACAACTCACCCTATTGCAATTTGGATTCAAACAAGTTCTAGAACCTCATCTCCAGTGAGATTACTATGATTTAATCTACCTTCCTCCCTATCCTAAATTTTATCTTCCATTTTGTTCCGTGTTTTGTGTCAGCTTCTGTGGAGACAGATTTCTGATTGAAAAGGCAAAGGATGAGCTCGAGAGCTGAGATGTCTCTGATAACGAGAGTCAAATCTCTTCCTTTTTATAGCTTACTTATACCTTTGTTGTGCACGCACACATATGTGTTTACGTGTAAGTAAATATTTTGTTCCGAGGGTTGTAAAGTGTTTCAGGAGCAATTAAGGAAGAACAAAAGCACCTTTAAAACCATCAGACACTAGCCAGCCCTAATTGCTGCGGTTTCTTTTTAATTACTGTGGTATTATCAGTGGATTGCTCTCAATTAACAGATTCTATTTAGGGAGTGCACCTGTGACACAGTTTGATGTCAGAAATTTTGTTACCTTTCTGGACCTGGAAGCCATAGAGATTTGTCCCACATTCTGCATTCTTTTCGCAGCAAGGCACACCTTCCCTCTTATCAAGGGATGCAGGCTGCAGCTGCTGTCACTTGTCTTGAGAGCTCCCAGGTGGCTGTTGAAATGGGGATGGAGCCTTCGTGGAAACGAGTTAGGTGTCAGGCAAAGGCACTGTGCCGAAGCAGGATTTGCCTATATTGTATGATACCGAGCAATAAATACAAACATTCTTAAACACATTTTGACTCCCATAAATTAAGCACGTTGAAAAAAATAAAAGATCATCCAAGGGTGGGCGGCGTGTTAGGGGAGTTTATGCAGATTAAGTGGGGCCTCCAGTCTTTCAAGCCAGCCTTTGGCCCTAGCCCTGCCAGTCAACTCTGAGAATGCCTGAGGATACACGCTTATTCTGACAAAGGAAGTAATTTGGCCTTCCTACTTCTAATCCTAAATTTTTTTGAATGTCTTTCAAGTGAGCCTGGGGCCTTTTGTGCCACACCCTGTATCACTAGTCTTTCATCTTTGGGGGAATAGACACAAATCAGCCATCCCAGAGCCTTCAGTCTTCAGGGAAGCAGTAGGTTGGTAGAGAGACCCATGTGGGCAATGGCTGTTTCTAAGCAGCCAGCAAAACCAGACTCGGCTGACAGATCCTTTTCCAGATTGGCACTTATTGGGTACAGGGGTGGTATTCATTTTAGCTTTTTGCTTATAACAGTTAGCCACTGTGGGTTTTCTAGGCACTGTATGCATTGGCCTCCCAGGAGTTAACTGGACCAGTGATTTCAGCTCATCAGTGGGTGAATATGACGGATGTTACAGTCTCGCTCAATTCCACACACGCAGTAAGTGACGTGGAGTCACATTGTTTATGCCCCAATGGTAAAACTCTGGGCTGACCTCATTATTAGTGGAAGTTTAACTTCTGTCTGTTTTTTTCTTTCTTTGTTTTCCAAATCTTCCTTTAGGTAAAAACATGTAAACCAGCCCTGGGCTACAGTTTCGCAGCTGGGACAATTGATGGAGCTGGGAGCTTCAATTTTACGCAGGGTGAGGGGCAGTCTAATGACACTTGTGATTCCAGGTTCTGAAGCTTCAAGGTTGTGTCTCCTAAGAGAGTTTACTTGTAGCCAGTACATTTTCTATTTTTATTTCTAAATTCTGGGGTGTGCAGGTATTCCAGGTTTGTTTGTGACAGCCAGATTTCCCAGGGACAGGAGTCTTTTGTAACTCAGCTTTCTACTGATTCAAAAAGAATCAGAGATGAATTCTCTATGCATCTTAGTCTATGGATTAATAATTTTAAATTGTGCTTGGGCAGGGGTGGAGTTGGTGGGTGCAGAAGGCAATTGTCCCTATACCTTCAACAATATGAGCCAGCTCTTCCAACTTGCTCTTAGTGCCTCTCTTTTTCCTATTCCTTTATTGAAGCCAAAATTCCTCAGGGCAGAGGGCAGAGGGCAGAGGGCAGAGACCTTTAGGAGCCTAACGCATGTGGTCCCCGGTCCTCTTTCTGTGTATTTCTACAAATTTGTAATTGATTATTTTAGGTTTTATAATTTTATCCTGATTTTCAATGTAATAATAGTCATTGTAAAATAGAGAAAGTGAAAAAAAGAAAAAATATCCTATAGAGAACAGTTTGGCCTTTTTCATTCTTGTCTTTTATGTATATTTTGGAACTGTTAATTAAAACATCAATTACTATAGTTATAATTGGATATATTTGGCACCATCTTTCCTGATAATATTTCATCCACTTTGGTATAATTTTCTAAAACAACTTTTTAAAGATTTTATTTATTTATTTTTAGACAGAGGAGAAGGGAGGGAGAAAGAGAGGGAGAGAAACATCAATGTATGGTTGCCTCTCACACACCCCTTACTGAGGACCTGGCCTGCAACGCAGGCACGTGCCCTGACCGGGTATCAAACCGGTGACCCTTTGGTTTGCAGGCTGGTGTTCAATCCACTGAGCCAAATCAGCCAGGACTAAAACAATAATTTTTAATAGCTTTAATGAGATGTAATTCACATGCTGTGCAATTTACCCATTGAAAACATACAGTTCAGTGGTTTTTAATACAGTCAACAGATATATACAACTATCACCACAGTTGATTGTAGAACATTTTCCATACCTCAAGAAGAAACCCTGTACTCTTTAGGTATTACAACCCCCTAGTCCCTATCTCTCCCAGACCGAAGTAACCACTAATCTTTCTGTCTCTGTGTTTTCTCATTTTCGACATTTCCTATAAATGGAATCATAAACTTGGCCTTTTTCACTTAGCATCATGTTTTCAAGGTTCTTTGTATTGTACCATGCACCATTATTTCATTCCTTTTTGACTGAATATTTTCTTGTATGGTTTTACCAGATTTTGTTTATGTATTCCCTAGATGATGGACATTTGGGTTGTTCCACTTTTTGGCTATTGTGAATAATGCTGTTACAAATTTTCATGTATAAGTTTTTGTGTAGGCATATGGTTTCATTTTGCCTCTTGAATACATACCTAGAGGTTAACTTGCTGGATCATATGGTAACCTTATGTTTAATCATCTGAGACTATTTTCAAAATGGCTGCATCATTTTTCATTTCCAGCCAATGTTTGGAGGGTTCTGATTTCTTCACTTCCTTATCAATACTTGTTTTTCTCTGACTTTTTTCTTTTTGGTTTAATCTCTTCACCCACCTTTTCACCCAGCTCCCCAACAACCACCCCCCACCCCTGGCACCTGTCAGTCGACTTGTTCTCTCTATCTATGCATCTGGTTCTATTTTGTTTGTTAGTGTATTTTGTTCATTAAGTGAAAGTTAGTGTATTTTGTTCACATATAAGTGAAATCATATGGTACTTGGCTCTCTCTGACTGGCTTATTTTACTTAGCATAATACTCTCCAGGTCCATCCATGCTGTCACAAAAGGTAAGATTTCCTTCTTTTTTATAGCTGAATAGTATTCTGTTGTATAATTGTACCATAACTTTTTAATCCACTCTACTGATGGACACTTGGGCTGCTTCCAAATCTAGACTATTGTAAATAATGCTGCAATGAATATAGGGGTGCCTATATTCTTTTAATTAGTTTCAGGTTTCTTCAGATATATTCCCAGAAGTGGGATTGTTAGGTCATAAGGCAGTTCCATTTTTAATTTTTTTGAGGTAATACCGTACCACTTTCCATAGTGGCTGCACCAATCAACATTTCCACCAACAGTGCACCAACATTCCCTGTTCTCCACATCCTCGCTAATACTTGCTTGATTTATTGATGACTTTTTGATTCTACTCACCCTAGTGGGTATGGATTGGTATCTCCTCATGGTTGTGATTCACATTTCCCTAATGATTAGTGATGCTGAGTGTTTTTTCATGTGTTTATTGGCTATTTGTATATATTCCTTGGAAGATGTCTATTCATGTGTTTTCCTCATTTTTAAATTGTCTTTTTCTCTTTTTATTATTGAGTTGTAAGATTCCTTTATGTATTCTGTATGAGAATCCTTTATCAGATGTATGATTTACAAATATTTTCTCCCATTCTGTGAGTTCGTTTTCACTTTCTTGGTTGTGTCTTTTGAAGTGCAAAAGTTTTCAATATTGATGAAGTCAAATGATCTATTTTTTCTTTTGAAAGATGTACCCTGTTCTTTTCTAAGAGTTCTATAGTTTTAGCTCTTATATTTAAGTGTTTGATCAGTTTTGAGTTAACTTTTACATATGATTTGAGGTAAGGCTCAGAGGGTCAGACCTCATCCTTTTGTTTGTGGCTATCTAACTATCCCAGCATTATTCCTTGAAAGACTGTTTATTTACCTGTTGAATGGTCTTGGTATACTCATTGAAAATCAATTGACCAGAGACACATGGTTTTATTTCTGGATTCCCAGTTCTGTTCCATTGATTTATATGTCTTCACTGTACAAGTACTACTGTTTCTTGATTACTGTTGCTTTGCAGCTAATTTTGAAACCAGGACATGTGAATTCTACTTCTTTTTTCTCTCAGATTGTTTTGATTATTTTGAGTCCCTTGCAATTCCATATGAATTTTGGAATCCGTTTCTCAATTTCTACAAAGAAGTAAGCTAAGATTCTGATAGGGACTGCATTGAATCTGTAGATTAAATTGGGGAGTATTGCAATCTTAACAATTTTAAGTCTTATAATCCCTAAATATAAATGTTTCTCATTTATTTACATCTTTAATTTTTCAATAATATTTTGTAGTTTTCAGTGTATACATTTTATACTTCTTTTGTTTATTTTATTTCTAAGTATTTTTATTCTTTTTGATATTACTGTAAATCAAATTGTTTATTAATTTTGTTTGTGGATTGTTCATTGAAAGTGTATAAAAATGAAGTTGATTTTGCATATTGATCTTATATCCTATGACCTTGCTGAACTTGATTATTAGTTTTAATAATATTTTATTGGATTATTTAGGGTTTCCTATATACAAAATCATGTAATCTGCAAATAGAAATAGTATTAATTCTTCCTTTAAAATTTAGATGCTTTCAATTTCTTTTTCTTGCCTAATTACCCTGGCTACAGTCTCCACTACAGTGTTGAATAGAAGTGACAAGATTGAACATCTTTGTATTGTTTCTGAGAGTAGGAAAGCAGTCATTCATCATTGTGATATAGGTTGTGAGGTTTTCTTTTAAAACCAAGTTGAAGACATCCCCTTTTATACCTATTTTGTTGAGTGGTATCATGAAATGGAATTGGATTTTTGTCAAATGTTTTTTCTGCATCTGTTGATATAATTGTGTGATTTTTGTTTTTTATTAATATGATTTATTACATTCATAAATTTATGGATGTTAAACCAATCTTGTATTTCTGGGATAAATCCCATTTAGTCATGACATGTAATTCTTTTTATATATTTCTAGATTCAATTTGCCAGTATTTTATTGTGGATTTTTGTGTACATATTCATAATCTATATTGATTTATAGTTTTATTTTCTTATGATGTCTTTGTTTTCTTTTGTATTGAGGTAATATTGGCATCATACAATGAGTTGGGAACTGTTTTCTCTTTTATTTTTTTGGAAGAGTTTTGAAGAGTTGCTCTTTATTCTTCTTTAGATGTTTGTTGAATTCAGCAGTGACATCATCTGAGCTGAGCAATTTGTCGAGGGTAGTTTTTTATTCAATCTCTTTATTTTTTATCCATCTAGTGAGATTGTATATTCTTAAGTCAGTTTTAGCAGTTTGTGTCTTTCTAGAAATGTGTTCATTTTACCAAAGTTTTCTAATTTATTGGAATATAATTACAGTATTCAGGTCATTTTTATTTCATTAAGGCCAGAAGTGAAGTGTTCTCTCATTTCTGATTCTAGTAATTTGAGTCTTTTCTCTTTTTATGTTGTTTAGTCTAGCAAAATTTGTCCATTTTGTTGATATTGTCTTTTCTGCAAATGAGTAACTTAATTTAATTAAACATTGTTAACTAAATATTTCCCTGGTAATTCAATTCCATCATTTGTTGGAAAGAGTATAGTTATTTTTAATCATAGGAAGAGTTAGACTCAAATTACACTTTTGAGATAATGAAGATGTAATTTCCCCATAGATTAGCTACTTTTCTAATTTTTAAAATATATTTTATTGATTGTGCTGTTACAGTTGTCCCAATTTTTCTCTGTTTGCCACCTTTACCTGGTACCTCCATACCCTCCAGCAAATCTCCCCCCGTCACTTAGTTCATGACCATGGGTAGTACGTATGACTTCTTTGGCTTCTCCATTTCCTATACTATTCTTAACATCCCTCCTGTCAATTTTGTACCTACCAGTTATGCTTCCTAATCCCTGCACCTCGCCCCAGCCTTCCCCTTCCCCCTCTAAACTGATAACCCTCCAAATGATCTCCATATCTATGAGTATGTTCCTGTTTTGGTTATTTGCTTAGTTTGATTTTGAGGTTCAATTATTGATAGTTGTGCATTTGTCACTATTGTAATGTTCATAGTTTTGATCTTCCTTTTCTTAAGTAAGTCTTTTTAACATTTCATATAATAATGGC